TTTTAAATATTTTACTTTTATTCCCCCCTCCCCAGGTAAACCCCTGGAAAAACAGTGGAACTTCCTTAAATACTACTAAAACCTGTTAAAAAGTATATGAAACCCCTTAAAACATAGTTAAATCCCAATAAATTACTAATTAAAACCCAGGAAAATGTCTTTAAATAGTAAAATTGCCTTTAATCACTATAAAAATGTGGTTATAAATGAGTAAGACTTCCTACAATCTGAAAGTCCCTTTGTAAAATCAGCAGACCTTAGAAGCAAGAAAAACCACAAAGTCTTTAAAAGTTAGAATCAATACACCCCTTAAAAAAATCCCCTTAAACCCCAATTAAAAACCCCAGATGAGATATATATTTTCTCCAGCGTGTTCTGGGTCTGAACACACTGGGGAGATTAATTCCTCCCCTTGGCATTTTATTCCTTTAATAGTTTCAATGTCCTTGTTATGCTGATGTAAGGCACCTTAAGTCTGCATGTGTATAAAAAGGTGCCATATAAATAAAAGTGACTTGACTTAAAACTCAGTAAAACTATGTGAACCAACATGCTCATCAGTAAAGCCTCAAAATAAAAGAGTGACATTAATAGTACTCAAGTTTATTCATAAACACATTTACACACAAATTGAATAAATGAAGCAGGTGGAGTGGACCTCTTCCAGCAGGTGGGGGGAGATCAGGGTTTGGACTGAACCAGAGTCTGCAGTGCTTTGGCCACCTGATCAGCTGACATGTTTTCCACTGAGACACTGCTCTCTTTACCAAAATCTAAAACACAAAGTATTATTCTTATCATCGGGGCATCAACAAAGACACACACCAAAAACAATATGTGCCACTGAATGGAAAACAAAGTCTAAAGCTTATAATGTGATAGAATGTTAAGCAGAGTGAGACCTCCAAATAGAGCTTCAATAAACTCATTAACCCAACATGGTGGTTCACCTCCTGCTGCAAGTGGAAAGAAAACCCAGGCTTCCATGATGATATGCGGTCAGACTCACCATATCTGGCCCAGAGTCGGGCCTGGACTCCAGAACATTCTCTGATCAGGATTGGGAAGTCTGGATTGGATTTCTTCAGAGCCACATAGTGCTGCTCCACAAAGTCCCTGCAAATACAGAGAGGCAGGAAGTTCTGATATCAACTGCTTCCTGTAGACCTCTGAGGTCACGACAGAAGGGGTCACACTGAAACTGACACCGTGGGTACATCCGAGGTCTCATATCCATCCACGTTCCCCTCACTTGTGTCTTTTCCTTCCCACATACAATGTCTGTGTTGACATGAACTCATAGTTACAGTTATTCCAACACAAACAACTTCAGCACCAGCTACACCTGTGAAATCAAAGGTTTGCTCCTGATTTGTAATACAACATTAGACATCCTTCTGTGATCTACGTGCAGGGTGACAATGCTGCGTTCAGGTAACATCAGCAGAATGAGAGAAATAAGAAAAACCTCCTGTGACTAATTTCTTAATGTTCACACTTCATTCAATGACAGTTCTCAAAGACAGCTTTAGAAACATCTTAAGCCAAAATTAACATTTTTTGTCTGTAAACAGTGACTCAAACGTGGTGTCCATAAAATGTTTTATATGTGACAAAGATATTAAAGAGGCTGGAAGCAGCTCATGTTTCAGCATTTTGATTAAAATCTGGAGATTATTGACTATTATTCGATCATCAAAGCAGTTGCTGATAAATTTCCTCACGACTGACTAACCTTAGGTGATTAATTGTCCAGTTACACATTTTGTAGCTGTAACGTTATTGTTGGATAACAGTTGAAAAACGTCGGTGCATATACAACATCCCATGTTTATAGATAATGCAATATCACAAATTGCTGTACCTTCTCATACAATTTTTACGCAATTTTTTTCCAATGCACTTTCTTCCTGCTGTGTCTACTCTCAGTGAACCACGCGGTTAAAATGACAAACATGTAAACAAAAACAGCATTACAACAGTTACAACTCGGGTCACGGTGTCTGATGCTAAGCTAACTAGCCGCTGTTAGCAGTGCTGATAATTTAAGTAATCATAGTAATGTCACTGAAGATAAACTACCGGTTCTTGAATTCCCGCTTCATGAGGCCAAATCGAAGCTCACCTGGTCCCCTTGCTAGCCGCGGAGGTTTGGCAGAGGTGGACGCGAATCTCCCGGAGGTTTTTACCCAAAGTAGATCCCAGACTCCGGACTACGGCAGCCGCCATCTTAGCTTTGTGCTGCCTGTCAAGTACGAGCTGAAGGTTGTTTCACCCCGGAATTTATCCTGCCAGGCTCTGACTTCTGCTAATTCAGCCCCGAGTCTGCCCTCAAAGGCAAACTTCTGCTGCATTACATGTATTTAACAGCGTACCATAGTAAAACTATTCATACAGAACATCATATGAATTATGATGGATTGTTATAAAAACTTCCAGCACCGTATAAAGTAATTAAAATGACAAAATACTCCTTACATGTTGATACAATAATAGTGATCGAATTATATAAATATCTAATGTATGGGGCATACATACTTTTATTTTGGTATACATTTTGCTGATAATTCTTCTGTGCTTTTACTTAAGTATGATTTATACCTGTAACTGTGTGTTTTTAAATGTTGGTATTGCTTCTTGTAATTTAATGCAGTCAGTGAGGGAAAGTTAATAAAAAAAATACATCCACTCCACTGTGTTTAAGCACAATTTTAGGCATATGTACTGTACTTTATTTGCATCACACCCTTTATGTGTTTACTTCATCATATGTCAAACAGAAATATTGAACTGTTTACTCCACTACATTAATCTGACCTCTGCAGTTGGGAGTTAAATTGAGATTTTACATATAAAACTTTATGTGTAATGATATTATATGTAATGCACAGCCATAAATCACTTATCAGACATTGAGTGTTTTAATAGCACCCAATGATAGTGAGCATCAAATTATAGTAATACAGGCTGCTGGACTATTGCTGTGGTTTATGGTTTGTAGAGCTGAATTTCACAACTGCTGGTGGTCATTTATTTTTTGTATAATATTACTTGATTATTTGGTTTTGTGAAAAAATCATATGTCATAAAACCGGTCATGTACCAAAATCATATACACCTTTACCTTAAAAACAATTTAAATGTATTTTAAATTAGCCCTACCTTGACCAAATATAACAACAGGGAACTTGTACACATTAATGCATCAGCAAAGATTATCTGATGATGTGAACTAGAACATCTCTCACAGGGGTGTTGCTCTCCAGAACAAATACTTTTATATGATATTTGTCAGTTGTGAATGCAGGACTTGTAATGCAGTATTTTTACCTTGTGGTACTATTACTGCAAAGGATCTGAGTATTTCTAAGTGCAGAATGTAAAGAGATTTGAGACATGTACAGAGCCTCTACTGTATATTCATGGTTTTTCTGACACTGTATGTTCATTTGCTGTTTGTCCACATTACAAAAGAATAAAGATACAGAAAACATGAAGTTCTGTAAAACAAACATTACCTGTAGTTTACCTTCAGTTGACCACATTTCTTGTGATAAGATTTGATTCTCGTCTCAATATGAAACTTAAAACATGCATCTCCACTTTTCTGCTTGTAGCCAAACTGTTGTGGAGGCAGTCAGCTGCTTCCGGTGATAAGACACAATCCAAACATGATGCAACTCCTCTGATCTGAATTCAGTCTGATGCTGAACAGACAAATAGTCTTCATGAAGCACTGAGAGAAATAAAAATCAACAATATCGCTGAATCAGAGAGAAAACTCCAGAAAGTTCAGAATGATCCGGTAACGTCTTTAACATGTGACTGAAAACTGAGCAGCTCAAATACGGGACCATTTCAGTTTAGGCAAATCTCCATGTTACAGAGCACAAATCCTCATTTAGCCATGATTTATTCTGAGGGATTCACATGTCCAAAAGTATGTGGACAGCTGACCACCTGCAGTGATGAAAGAAGTCCTCAGATCTTTTACCCAAGTAACAATACCACAGTATGAATATACAATATCACGACGAGAACCTGTTCATTCAAAATCTTCCAGGTTTCTGAAACCATGATAACCAGGACACTAGTGCACATGTAAACACAGCCAGACCAGGTATCTAAGCTAAAGCTGATGTTTCTGTCGATTTATGTCGTCTGTGTGGCTGAAGAGGTGAACTCTCTTTTCCACCCAAAGTGGCTGACATGTCCATTAGTCACACAAACAGCAGCAGCTGGACGAGACTTTGCTTTATTTAGAAACAGGATTATTTGGTACAAACATCATGACTGTGAAAACCAGAAAAGCTTTAACAGACCGGGCGTTTTCTAAAGCAAAGGGGTCACCTTATGCAGTTCATCTTCTCGGACCAGGTCTAGACTTTGTGATGCTTCATTATCAAACACTAACTGTACATCAGAACGTTATGAAGATGAGAGATGATTGTGTGACGAATCAGCTCTGCTGTTTCTCATTAAGAGTCCGCTAGCAGTAGCGGGAAGTGAGCAAGCTGTACATGCGACATCAAGAGTGAACAAGAAAAACAGTCTGCAGGTTTATTCAAGTCTTTTTATAATCCGGTGTGTTTCCTATCAGTCCTGCTCCTGCTGGATCTCCTCAATAGATCCTGCCGTCGTTTCTCATTCAGGAGCTCCTGGATACGTTTGTTTTGTGTTCGCTCACGGATCGGTGGCATCCGCAGCACAAAGTAGTTCTGCTGTCCTCTAGTGGTGTCACTGTCCAAACCCGGGATCCGGTACGGGATCCTGTCCACTGAGTTGTTCTCCTTTTTTGAGAGCGAGATGGAGGAGGACGAAGACGATGTTGGCGTTGGTTCAGTTTCTATCAGACTGATTTCAGTTTGAAGGCCCCACTCTTCTGATGATGTGATATCAATGACGTCATCAGAATCAGGTGACATTGTAGTGGAGAATTCTGGGACAGCAGACGTCTGGACCACCATTGTTGTCAGACTGCCAGCAGTTATCACAGGGAGCATTGTGGGAGTGGTAGTTGTCTTCTTCAATAAATGTGGTGGTGCAGTTTTTCTTGGACGTCTTGTAGTTGTACTAGCGGTAGTTGGAACAATCTCATCAGGCTCAGATGAAATCGATGGATTCTCATAGGATGTATATTCATCATAATCATCATACTCAACGTAGACAAAATCACTGCTGCTCCTTCTGGTGGGGGATGGACCTACAGTGAAGGTGGTAGGTGGCATGCTGATGATGTCACCAATGATGTGGCCGCTGTCAGACGAGGTGGAGGTGGAAGCTGAAGTTGTCATCTCCGTGGTCAAACTCCACAAACTAAAAGACAAGAACAATGAAAAAAGGACAGTTTAAAGTGCCTAAAAGGTCTAAAGGTTTCAAATATGAAGTGTTTCTCTATGACATCAGCTATTAGTAAAAGGGCAACGATGGATTATGACATTGAGTCCCTGGCCACAGACACCTTTCCTACACAGAAGTAAGACTCCCAAACTGAAAGGTTCATTTGCTGAACTGTCTCAGCCTACATTCACCCTCTAACAAACTCCAGTTGTTTTACATCGACTCTTGTCCAGGTTTCACCTGCTGGTGTTGAGTGATGGGTTCATGCTGCTGAAGTTGCTAAAGTTGTTGGAGTTGCTGAAGTTTCCTTTGCTGCAGGACTTGCAGCACATCTGTCGGTATCCAGCGATGGAGCAGTACCGACGCAACACTTCCATTCGACAAAATGTTGAGCGGTCAGCACGGCAACGCTGTCCTGGAGACACAGCAGGAGCAGCTGCCAGTTGGAACATTCAAATATTTGTATTCAAATATTCGCTTGAGTTAGCAGGAAAAGGCAAAGTCAGGTGGCCATTATTGTTTTTAAGAATTTAGCCCGCAAACACATTGATGATTGGACAACTTTACACATCATTTACAAATGCATTATGGAGTTTTTCCTGATCCAGATACAGATCACATGTCAAGGTGGAGATCATGGGGTCTGACCTGCTGTAAAAAAGACAAAAGGAGCCAAAAACTAACAAGAAGAAACTGGATTCTGTATCTGCAGCCTTTTATCTTCTGTACATCTGTCTTGCTGCTCTGTAAAAATCACCGTTCATCCCAGGAAAACCAACCCATCATTAAAGCATCAATCTTAACATTCACAATCATAAAAGAAACCAGACAAGGAGGCAGAGAGTTAAGGAAGTAAACAAGCGTGTGACAAAATCAGGGGGGAAAGGAGGAGGAGGAGAAGAAAGAGAAAGAGGAGAAGTGTGTGCTTTACTGGAGGAGATGCTCGGAGCTGAGAAGTCTGGGTTGGACCTGGACAGCCACTGGATGGTGGAGTTATTCTGGTCACCTGCAGGGGGGGAGAGTAAGTCAGCTGCACATAGACTACAACTACCAGCATCCCTCCCTCCCTGTCAGTAACAAACATCTGGGATGTGATTGGCTGATGCCTACCCCTGCAAAGTGGGGCCTCGCAGGTGCGGGTTGTGAGTGGCCGAGGCTCTGAACAGTTTCCAGCTGAACCCCTGGGACTTGAACATGCAACCTGACGTTCTTGAGTCCCAGTTCCACATGAGACTGAACACTGAAATGAAAAAGGTACTGATTAGATCTTAAATGTTCAGATTCTAAAGAAACTCCCAAAAGGTAGAAGTAGTCCAGAAAGATAAAAGTTAATGAGCTCCAGAAAGAAGAAAGGTGGAGGTTATCCAGACAAACGAAGAGTGAAGGTAATCCAGAAAAATGGAAACTTGAGGTAGTCCAGAAAGAAGATGGTTTGAGGTTGGCCAGTGAGAAGGAAGCTAGAGGTAATCCTGAGGTACAGGTAGTCCATAAAGAAGGTGTAAGAAGGTGCAATCGAAGAATAAAGAAATTAGTCTACAAATGAAAAAAAAATAACAAAGGCAGTCCATAGGTCCAGACGTCATGGTGGCAACACAAGAAATGTTGTTAATTCTGCTCCTGTCTTAAGTTTTCGTACCGAGGTCCAGGGCCCGGCTCGCCAGGCAGCGGGACAGGGGAAGCGGTTGCAGGTGCGTTTTCCGTCTGGTCGATCATCACCACAGAGCTTGCTGAGCACCGAGCGCAGCTTCTGTCCGCTGCTGGACTCCTGCTGGCAGCTCACCCAGCGGCGCTGCCACCCGGTTTGACCACAGGAGGCGCTGCAGTCCTCCCAATCCCCTGTCACCCAGCTGAGGGGGCAAACAGAACAGAAACGGTACAGTAAATCTGTGCTCCTGGGTGAACAAGAGCTGCTCCAGCATTGTTCTTTCCTTTAAAGAGCCCATGGCTGCTCGTTTTGCTCGTTTCCAGCCATTAAATGTTTAATCTTGGGTACCTCTAGATTAGCTTGGCACCCCTCATAACTCCAAATAGTTTTTAATTGTTTCAGAATCAGAGAGCCAAAAGCCTCTTCCTTAAAATGAGAGGACAGTTCGTGAACGCGCACACCTCCTGCTGCTGATGTTGTGTCGCAAGTGGACAGCACAACGAACTGCAACGGCATTAATTAATATGAATTTCTTCTCCATAGATAGATAAACAATGGTATATGTACTGATAAAAAGAAATGTGTAACACTCTAAACAAAGCGGGTAACTGAGAAACCCCATATTTTAACTGGCATAATGCAGACATAGTAACTTCTCCAGCCTTACAACAATTCTCTTTAACGTTACAGAAACAAGGCATTAAGAGACACACAACTTATGTTTTTAAAACTTAGTTAAGTCCCACCAAGTAGTGGAAACATCATTTGCTTTCAAGTAGAACCAAGGTCAGTAAATCACGTCTTCCCCCACACGACCACATACAGTCCCAAAGTAGTGAAATGAATTCCAACAGGTAGCGTAGCACCAACAGTAACATCATGGGTCATTAATCCGCTAGTGAGAGTTTGTGAGACGTGTGTAAACCGAGTTGCTTCTGCATAGAAATACTAGAACATACTGTATGTAAACCTCTTTTTTTTTTACTTTAGGTCACGTTTAAGTTGAGAATTCCCCATTGTAATATTGTAGATAAGTCAGAAAACAAGGAAAAGCGCTATGGACTCTTTAACTTCATAATCTTGTCAGGGGTCCATTCAATCTTATACAATAAAGTGTTTGTAATACTAGAAATATTTCAGTTTGTTTGATTTCTTTGATTCTTATTATGCTTTTTAAGTACTTTATTCAAAGTGTTTGTCTACATTTTTTAAAAGTGATTTGCTGACCCTCATCACCAGTTCTGTATCTGTATACACTCCACAAAGTTCTGGAAATATAATCAGATTATTTCTGCTGTCATGAAATGAACCAGGGTGCTAAAAGAACTTGGTCAGTCTCCAGATGAATGATGCATCAGGGTCTGAGTACACTGGTCAGATTCTGGGAGCAGTTGTTCAGAAGTTATCTGACTGGATTTCAGTTAGCAGATTGGATCAAATCTTGAAAATGGGAAAAAAAAAAAAAAAAAAAGGATACTGAAATCCGATTAGATGATGTAACCCAATCTTGGTTGTGATCTGGATTAAACCTTCAGTCTGTGTCGTTCAGAACCTTTTAGAAGGAATAGGATAACTTTGATCCAAAAAATGAAAATTATCCCCATCCCAGCACAGAGGACAACTCAGGCAGATTTCAGGAACAAAATGCAATAAAACACAAATTGGTCAAATAAAATGTACTATTTGTATCATGTAATATATATGCATTTATTAATATTTTTGCACTTCATTTGCTTAATATTTACAGTGAGAAAGTAAATAAAGCCTTTAGCCTTTCAGTATAGTGAACCAAAGCCAGACTTGAGATCCACCTCATAGAAGTTTAACATCATAAGGTGTTTTTCCACCAGCACAGGTCAGTCCTGCCAAGCCAAGGTGTGCTCGGTGGAACCGTGCTGAGCCGCTCCCCTTCATGTTTCCACTGCACCATAAAGTGCATTATCTTCTGCACCCTGATCATGTGGGGTTGGCGCCAGCCACTGAGAAGTGACACATAACTTATGGTGTTGGCGTGGTGTTGCTAGCTTGCAGACATGGAGCGCTTGGTCCTGGGCATTATTTTAACCCCTTATCAGAAGAACAAGTGAGAGACTCCATTTTCAAATCTTGCTGCAATGAAATTAGGGATAAATAAATGAATGCTGAATGTAAAAGGACTTTAATTTGGTGCAATGTTTCAGCCAATCAAGTGCCTCAATGAACCTCTCTGGTGAAGACGGA